CATCACCTGGGGGGTGTATCGGCTGTCTGATGCTAAATAGTAAAATGGTTGTTTTTCTGAAAAGCAGTGAAGCTGTGGGCCCATTTTCTGTCTTCTCCTGACAGCCCTGTGATGTGTTCAAAGCCTCAGTTGGGAAATCAGCCTTAGTATAGCGCCGTCACAAACAATCACAGCTCATTACCAACCACACACTACCCCATTTGCTTGCGCTATCAGAGGTGTCTACACGTGTGTGTGTTGCCACACTCGCCAATGCTGATATTTAGCTTGCAGCTCTGAGTTTATGATGATTTTGTTTGTGCACAATGCAGAATGAGCACTAAGGTGGCCCGCTTTGAGGCTCTAAGTTGGTGAATGAGCTCTGTTGCCAGACAGGTTGTTGATGCACCCATAGGCCCGTGACCTTGCAAAGAGTAGAGCAACTGTCAAATTCAACGAGAGGGTGCTTTTATCTGCTCAGCGCCCCGACGCAGCACACTCAACCAATTATCTCCCTGTCAGACGTAAACACGTAAACCGTGTTGTTAGTCTCTGTCCATGTTGTTTTTTGTGAAGGACACGATGATCACAACCAACCTCGAGTCGGTGAGAGGGCCATTCCATGAATTGAGTGTAATTGGCGAGGAGAGCTGCGAGCCAGTTGCTCTTTGTGTAAGCAGATTACAGGCTGGCAAAGCTGAGACCCCCTCAGGGTGCCGAAACATGGTCGTCGGTACGTGGTGTGTAAAACAAGCATGTCACTCATGAATTATACATGGGAGAATGTCCAGCCATGGAACTGGAACACTGGAGAAAACAAGACAATAGGAGGAGGTAGAGAAAGAAGGAGGGAACTCACAGCACAACGGTTGAACGGATACAGGTGTAGCCATCCTGCAGCGATACAGCTGGATGAGATAAACGTGTGTGCCGACCTTTGGATCGATTTGAACACAGAATTGCAAAAATAAAAAAATAAGTCAGTTGTTTTGTGCAAAAAAAACCCTCATTCTTAAGGATCAGGGGCCTCATTTATAAAGCTTGCTTACGCACAAAACGGGGTCAGAAAACTGCGTAAGCACCTTTCCACTAGCCTGGCAAGCCAGACTAAAATTTGGTCTAGTTCACTAGGCTACCTTTCCACGCAAACTTTGGGATTTATAAAAGAAAACTTTGCGGAGAAATTTGCACAAGTTTAAGTTGACTAAGGACCTGGCTTACGCACATTTTGGACATGGAGAGCACCTGCGCTGCTGCTGCTGAGAAGGAAACAATTATGAATTCCAGCATCATTATCAATTGTACTGCTTCCATGTGTGCCATGCACTCGAGGCGCACTGGTGGGACAGGCCGACCCTGCAGCCACATCTTCGGTCGCCGCCTGGGATGCATCGTTGGCTGCTTCATCCACAATCACTGGGGGGAAACAACAAGATTTGGTTTTGTTTCATCTTTTAATGATGGACACATTTGATCTGTGTTAATAAAAAGCTTAAACGTTACCAGTCTCCTCTGCATGGTCAGTGTCTCCCTCATTCTCCGGCACAATGCCACGCACGCTTGCTGGTCTGAGTACTGCTGAGGTCCTAATGGCAAGTGGAGGGGGATCAGAGGTGCCAGGGCCTCCGCCAGTGGAAGACACACTCTGGCGGTGGCAAAACATCTTTTTTTTGCCTCCATCTTCAGATCGGACCATTATTTAATATCCGCCACAGAACTCTCTGAAGAACTCACAGCATTGCTGGCTTCAGCAACGCTGTGCCACTCTGTGGATTTTCTCTTATTTGTTTAGCAAAAGCACTTCCTTTCATTTTTCCTCCTCACTCACAAGTACCTTAATTTCTGCTTCAGTGAAATTGCACTTCCTTGATCTGTGGTCGCCATTGTTAATGGTGGAATGCCGCAATGAGCCGGCTTATATATATGCATGAGATCCACAAGGCTCTTTGCATTGACCATTTATGGCAGAAAGTGGGCGTGTCGAGGGCGGGATGTGATCCAGAAACACCTGAGAACCTTTCTAGGTAGTTTGTGATTTATAAAGAGGAGATTGCATGTAGCTGTGTGTACTCCATTTTTTTATAGGTCAAAAACCTACTTGGCATAAGTACATTTTTTTTGCTGAGCTTAAGTACGGTTTTAGTGAGGATTCTACGCAATGTTTTATAAATGAGACACCTTGTCCTTATGCAAGTTTTAGTAATAATTTGCTTCAGTTTTAGGATTAAGTTTATCAACTCAAACGGGACCCTTTTGGGAAATCAAGCTCCCAGCAGAGTGATTTATTGTCATTAAACGAAAAATAAGTAATCAGAAAGTACCCAAAAAATAGTCTGACTCACCCTGACTTCACACTGGAGGCATCAGAGAATCAGAGCGGCATTGGAATGTTGCTTCTTTAAATATAATTTGTTGCAATCTATGGGTTGATCCAAACCGGCCACGCCGTGCCACGATGCTGAAGATAGGATTGGGTACAATCGGCATGAGGACTGGGGTCCTTACAGTAAGTATACAAAAAATGTATAAAACTACAGTCCCATTGTGCAACGACCTAGCTTGGACATCCTACAGATGTGGTCTGGACCAACGGACTCAATATAGACATAATCTGTACGTCCATATAATGCTGACTGTGTGCAGGGGCCTAGAGGCTCTTTCAAGCAATGTCAGGAATGCAGAACTTTCAAGTACACAGATGGCAGGAACGGCCAATCACACGTTAGCAAGTATCAGCAGAGCCAATAGATGAGCTTAAGGATGGTTCTAATGAGAAACAGGTTTGAACACAAGCGGTTGTTTTATGCTTGGTCCTAGTGCTCAACCAGTGTCTGTTTAAAGTAGTGTAATGTTGTTTTTGGATGGTAAAAAGTGCAGGGGACAAAAACTGTATTTGGAAAAAGTGTGTGTGTACGTACATGCTGCTCAGAATAGAAATATTACAACTGTGTATTTTTCAAATTTTGGCATTCACTTGCAAAAGGCTGGCCAGTGGAGGGCCGTGTACAGGTCTACTCGTTGAAATGTATTGATGCATAATTTTGAAACACTTGTATTTAGTGAACTTTACCTGAGAAGGGATCAATTTTAAAGACATGCAAATATCTTGAAAACAAAACTGCCATAATTTTAGGTAATCAATTTATTTGTGTGCACTTTTTATTTTTAATGGTGCGTATTATGTATGTACAAACATAAGTTGCATCAGTTATTGCTTTTTTGGCTGTTCTTAATATTTTATTTAAGTCTCAAAAATTATTCAGGTTCTGTGAGGTTCATGTTCTATTGGAGGTTCTGTGAAACGGCATGTTTCTTGACTATTAATATAACAGGAATTTAGTAATTTGTTGTACAGACAGTTTAAATCTTTATTTAGCATATTTAAAGAAAAATGAATTATACTTTAAAAGTGCTAAGGCAAAATACCTCACATCTCAGCAGGAATGTAAGTGCACTATAAGAGCCTGAAGTAAATGTTTTTTCACATAATTTTTTATTATTTAACACTCGTTTTACTTGACAGACTCTCAGAAGAAAGTAACGTGGTAATAAAAGTCTCGCTTCTGGCTCTATTTTAGTGATAAATAAATAATACCTTTTAGTGCTTTGGTATGCAAGGGTATGAGATGATATTTTCATTCAAGCCTTTTCTTTGTCTCTGCTCATTTTAGGAATTGGGCATCATTAATCACATGCTTTCAACCAAAATTACGAGGAATCTGCACTGCAGGAGCCCCCCAGAACAGCATTCAGCCACTCAGAGTGCCACAGTTGTTGATGATGCTCATTCCAAGACGCACGAGAAAACAAAAACAAAATCAGCACGCAAAAATGCCAGCCTCCAGTTGGGATTGTCCAGAGCCAAATGAGCATTCCCTATGCTGCCTTAGTAATTCAAATCACCTCTCCCTCGTGTTTTGCATTAGGATATGGCAGACAGAAAAACCTTGATAATGGTTTTCATTTACTCCCCAGCAAGACCAATCACACTGCCATTGGTTCCACGCGCTGCTTTGGCTGACACATCTGAACACTGCAGACCAGCTCTGTCGGTGGTGGTGGAGCAGGTTGATGCCCCTGTATTACCCCATGTGCCAGTGACACTTTTCACCACACAACCTTGGAACGAGTGTGTGGGGGATCCTGGCAGATTTGTCACAGCCCACAGACTGAAACACCCAAAAGTCCTTTTGCACACTGACGTGCACAAATTCAACCCCAGGGGACATGCACAAGAAAAAAACACACAGAGCTGACAATGTGCACTTTTTTTTAGATCAAATTCATGAGTTAACAGAGACATAAATGCTGGAAGAACGTCTACATCCCTGATCACTCTTTAATCAGCTGTATATCAATTTCAGTGAATATATGACAATGTTTAATAATTAAAAAATATAAATAAAATATTAATAATAATACATTAGATTTCCGCTTTAACACAGGTACTGTCATAAGAAAAAAGAATAATACACACTTTTGATTTTCATTGTTTTAAATAATGTCAATTGAAAAAAAATTTAAAAAGTGTGTCTATTGGCTTGTCTTTAAAGAATTTGGAAACACAATTACAAATGGGAACTGGAGGACAAAATGCTCAACCATCTTGTGAATTTGATATTATTCAAGCTTGCAGTCCCTCAGTCAGCCTATGAATCAAACGTGAGAGCCTGCGTCGGATAGAGGAAGCTCTGATCAGTCTAAAGCTTGGTTTATGCTTGACGCATTCACTTTCCGCGCGGTGATGCGGCTCGCGGATGGAACGCACTTCACAACTCGCAGCGTTTATGGTTTGTGCGGCTCGTCTCTGCGGTGAGCCAATATTCTCCCAAACTGAACGGGGCAGCATGGAGCTCTACGGCATGCATCCAACACTACACCATAGTAGAAGTAGAAATGACTGTTTACAACATGGCATTTCAGCAATTTTAACAGCGTTCTCGTCTTTTCCGACAGTGCAAGCTATTTCTCTCCAAGAATTATTTACAACATGTTGATCACGGTGATCTCTGAGAGCTGAATCATACAAATGTCTGTATTTACGAACCTCTGCCGTACTAGTTCTTGCCGTCCGCCATGTTTTTCCGCGTCCGTCCATCCGCGTGGTTAGAAATTTTCCGAGGTGCGCGTTGCGGAAATTCTGGGCCGTGCGGAGGCGCGGTGGAGGGGCGTGGTTGTTAAAATGATGCAAAATGACGCAACTTTTCCGCATGGAGCCATGCGGACCTCGCGGACGCGTCAAGCATAAATCAACCTTAATACATGCATGAATACTGTCAAAGGCAGAGGCTTTTATATAAAGCAACTTACAAATGACTATAATATGGAAAGATCACAAAAATGATTGCTTTGGTCATTAAAAAAGAATTCTGAAACTCCTTCAAGAGAGATGAGCCATCAGCTAGTCTGGGGGGGCACAGCACTAGAAATTGTATGCAATGCTTTTTTTTTTAAAACCATTAAAGTTGTGGTTGACTGAAAAAAAAACATTTTTAATTATGTTTTTCTGATTATTAACAGTCACTCTGAGGTTTTCATGCAGGCTGAACATAAAATCAATCTCCTACACCTATCTCCTGCATTAGCTTCTGATAGAAAATAGACAGTGAAATGCTAGGATTTGAAAATCCTCACATATCTATGTCACAATGTGAGTTGACATTCATTCAGAACAGAAGCATCATATCTCAGTGGTGATCAGGAGGTTGTTAGTACGATTGCAGCTTTCCCTCTACATTTCAGTGTCTTTGGGCAAGACACTGAGCCCCATATGGCCCCCTGATCTGTAAATCAGCATAGCATGAGAGGGTGAGTGGGGTAAAGCAATCAGTAACAGTAAGATGCTAAGTGGTCCTACAGTCCATTTCATCAACTTAGCTTAAAACATACCAGGTAATAATGAACAAATAGACATCAAACTTTTTTCTTTGTGAAAACTTTAAAGATTGTATAAGTAAGCAAATACATTTTATTTATATAGCACTTATCACAGATGTAGAATCACAAAGTGCTTCACATAGGTCACAACAAAATAAAACATAAAGTCATTAAATCATAACGATCTCAAAACAGAATCAGATTAACATCAGAAAAATAGTCACAAAATCATAAAATGTCATAAACAGATGAAAGACAATTTTTTTTTGTTAAAAATAAGAAAATTAAAGGTTTAGGTAAAAGCAGCTTTAAATAAAAGGGCCTTCAGCTGTTTTTTAAAAGTTTCCAGACTGTCAGTACTACGTAAGGAGAAAGGAAGATCATTCCAAAGTCGGGGTGCAACAGTCTGGAAGAACCATCACCTCGACTTATATATCTGATCTTTGGAATTTCTAGAAGGTTCTGGTGTGTGGACCTGATGACACAGGTTGGAGCATAAGGCGTTAACAGGGAGGAACTTGAATGTAGAGCCCTGAAAGTTGTAGTCAGGATTCTAAAATGAACTCTAAAGTTAATAATTGTAATTTTTCTTCGTTAAACAACTCGTACGGTTTACAATCATGCAGAAAAATCTCTAACTAGAGGAAATCTTTTCTTCATTCAGGGAAAATTAAATCTTGTTTAAAATCATTGCAATTTTTTTTTCCTTTTTTCAATTGGCTTTATTTTATTTCACTCCATTAAATACTATATATTAACGGAATTCACATTCAGTTAATTCCAAATCAATTTGTTTTTTAATGTCCTTCTGATTTATCTTGACAGCAGCCATACGGTCTTGTGGGTGATACAGTATCAGCTATGAACCCTCAAGGCTACAAATCTCCGCCGTGCTTTTGACAATTAATCATTTAGAGGCGAGGGCTCCATTTGTGGAAAGTGTGTCCATTTGCCACACGGTCGGATGACTGAATAAGTCAACAGCAACAATGTGGGAGAAATTGTTGTTGACTTAGCCATTTCTCAAAATAACTCTCCTGGGGCTGAAATTGAGATGATGTGAAAAGTATAGAGAAAATGGGGGAAAAAAAGCAGCTAATGTATGCTGGCACTGTGCACTACCATACTCACATGGCTTTCTATAAAAAAATAAGAACCGAGGTCATGCTTTATTCAGATTAAAGCCGCTTGCACTTTTGTTGCCTTAAAAGGCTAATTTAAACCCTGTCAGCTTCTATCTCTGTTTCTGCTTTTTGTCTCGTTGACTTCACAATCAAGTAAAGTCTCCCGTGTTTCAAAAATTCTGTTGCTATAACAAATTCGGAGATTAAAGTGACATTATGGAAGTTTGACAGCCAAAACATGTATAGAAATAATAAATTCTTCTTCATACATTCTCCTGCAATGCCCTGGTCCTGTAGAATGAGCCCTGGCATTTTTACTGTGACTGCCTGTTTTTCTGTAAAATCACAGAAAAAAGAGCTGCTCGGGTCGAGCAGGCTGCTTCATGCGCGTTCACGCTCAGGCATAGCCTGTAGCATTTGCTATCCGTAGCTTTAGCAGCAGAGAGAGGTATTGCCAACTCAGCGACTTTGTCGCTGTTCCTAACGCCTAGTGATGAACCTAGCTACATTTCTGAGGACCCTTAGCTACTTTCTGTAGAACTTTCTTCTAGATATTTCCTGCAATTTAGCAACAAAATAGCCATTTTCACTCTGAACCGGTCTTTGGTTTGTCTCAGGTGTCATCAAGGACATAAAAGTTACAGATCGTGAATGTCATAGAGTGTAGCTTGCCTTGTAAAATGTCTGACTCCCATGCTGAAGACCTGGGTTCAATTTTGGGTGGGAACATAGTTCATTTAGAGTTTCTTTTTTACATTAATGATAATTTTTTTTACAGTAAGACACCCACATTTTTATTCGAGACTCGCCGAACGGCATTGAATTCACAGATAAAAAAGATGGGGTTTCAACTTTCATTTTGGAACAATTTTTCAAGAAAGGGAAGGGCATGATCTGAGCATGCAGGAGGACTGACCCATCATAAACCTTTGTCGGCTGTGCTGAAGAGAAAGGTACAGAACCAAATTATTTAATTAATTAGCTGCACGTTCTCCTGTCCTCTGTCCTCCGGGCCACACACACACACACGGGACTGTCTCAGCTATTATTTTCGTTAAGGAGTGTGCACGTGCCTACTATTGAAGCTGCCATTACGCTTTTGGCCTGAGGGGGCAATCGCGAGCATAAAAATTCAAAAGTCCGTAAAGTCTCTTTAATGATTAAATTCTGTACACGTGCAACACAATACGGTTTATTTAATCACACTTTTATACCCTTTTTGAAGGCAAAAGAACAACATTTTTTTATTACTAGAGCACAAAAAAGACAAAATAACATTCTCAGCTGGAACGAAACTTGTGATTTTCGTCCTCTATACTGCTCTGTATTTGAAGCAGGACATTCTAGTTGCAGCAGAAACGAAGGACATATTTTATTATTGTTTGCTGTGATGGTTGATTAGGTGGATGGAATTATTACCCAACACGTCTGTGTTTAACTAGCAAGTTGCCGACAATCTAGATTAGTGATAATAATTATGAGTTCCAGCAAAAATCATCTAATAGGAGGTTTGAGTTTTAGTTCTAAAATATGTTTACTTTTCTAAAAAAATGTCTTATAAGGCTGTTGATCATGGAAATAAAATCACACACGGAGCCAGCAGCTATAATTTTACAATTTATTTTTTAAATACTTGTTTTTAAACACAATGATCTACATGTGATTCACACTAATATACATTTTGGATTTCTTTTATTTTTGTGGAAAGGCTATAATATTGAAAATAGTGTTGAATTTGAGAGACTTTGCAACAGCTTTGTTTTATAAGTGGCCATTACCACAAAGCCACTGATGACACTTCTCTGTAAAACCCCTTGGATATAATTTGGCATGAGAGTGCTGTCTAAAACCTAATAGAAGCTCTTTTTGAATATCACAATTTACAGAATATTATTAACTTTAGTTGATTTTACCTGGGGAAAGAAAATGTTTTTGACTGTACTACTACTACTACTACTACTACTACTACTACTACTACTACTACTACTACTACTACTACTACTACTAATAATAATAATAATGCATTTATTTATAGGCACCTTTCAAAACCCAAAGTCACCTCACAAAAACATGATAAAACTTACACAAAAATAAGAATAAGATATTATAAACAATAGAATTACAAAGCATATTCTATAAATTACAGAGTGGAGAGTTTGTAGACTAGCTAGTAAGCCAGTTTGAACAGGTGAGTTTTGAGTTTAGATTTGAATGTTTAAAACGCAAACTTTTCTGTTTTCTGTATTGATCTTGGACTGGGCAGCATTTTTAGGATTTTACTGAAAAGAAATAAGTTCAAATATCAATTAGTATGTATTAGCGTGTGTTTGTTTGGGTGTGTGTTTATACATCAATCTGAAGACCAATGGCAAACTTTTCACCTGTAAAGTGAGGACATTTTGCCTG